AACCATGCACTTCAGGAAGATAGATCGACGAGATCTATCTGCAGATGAAACTGCGAGAAACAGAGGATCGAAAGATCCTGGTATATGTATGCATATCGGAGCTCAGTTGTAGAGCTCACAATCTGAATGAGAGAGAAAGAGAAAACGAAACAAATAGCCAGTCTACTAGACAGTAGAGCTGGAAGGATATTGATTAAATTAGAGAAATTGTGCGTTCAAGTTCACAAATTTTCAACAAAATTCAATCGAGTGATTGAATGATCCGGCTGATTCGAATCGAATCGAATCGAACGAATCATTTCAGTCCCAAGTCCGTGCCCTCATCATTTTTCTCATTTTCTGTTTCCCTGCTGCCAATTGAGTGTACCGGTACGGTGTGCTCTTGCTTTAGAGGGTACCGGTACATGTACGGGCAGCACTACATTCCAATTCTGCTATCTACCATGTCAGCAATCAGCTCCGTTGCCGTGGACACTGTGATCATAGGGGGCGGTCAGGCCGGTCTCGCCATGAGTCATTGTTTGATGGACCGCGGCATCCACAGTCAAGTGATTTTGGAAAAGGGGAACATTGGAGAGAGATGGAGATCGTCCTATTGGGACTCCCTTCATTTATTAACACCCAATTGGCAAACAAGGCTTCCTGGAAAATGGAGCTATCAAGGCAAGGAAATGGATGGATTCATGACCAAGGCAGAGTTTGTTCATTTGTTAGAAGGATATGCCGCTTCCTTTGAGGCTCCCATTCAGACGAATACCAATGTCATTGAGGTCGCAGAATTCATTACGAATGGAGGTGAACAAGCAGGTAGCAGTGCACTTCGATTCAAGGTGACAGCAGTGACAAACACCGACTCCAGAGCGAATCCCTCCAGTTCTACCCGAATATGGCTGGCAAGGAACGTTGTCCTCGCGACTGGATACTGTGACCTTCCCAACATTCCCAATTTTGCACGCAATCTACCCGTGTCGACCTGGGTCAGACAAATCGCTGCTACAGACTACAAGAATCCTTCCCAAGTCCTATCTTGGTTTCAACAGCAGCCAGAAATGGCGGGTAGATCCATTGATAATGTCATTCTTGTTGTTGGGGCTGGAGCCTCTGGTATTCAAATTGCCCATGAGCTTGGCAAGGCCGTTCGTCAGAACAGAAATGGTATCCAACCCATAGTCATGATATCGGTGGGGCGTCATTGTCGATGGCCCCGAAAGTACCGTGGCAAAGACATACTCTGGTGGATGGATCAAATGGAGGCGTTTCGATCCTCGGCGGTCCAACAAGACGAAGCCTCTAGTCCCGGACCACAACTGAGTGGGTACCCAGGCCATACCGACGCGAGTCTATATCATCTACACAACGAATTGGGTGTGCAAGTGGTGGGGAAAACGACAATACGCAAGAGCTCTGGCAGCAGCACTATTCAGTTTGACAATGCCATGTTAGCCGACTGTCTCAAGCAGGCTGACGACGGATGCATCCAAGTTTTGAAAGCCATAGATCAGTTCATCATCCAGCAACGACTTGACGCTACCAACACAACAGCATTGACTAATTCTCCATTCGAGGGCTCTTGTGGCGATCCATGCCCTCGACTTGAGTCATCTACCAGCAGCGACACCGGTTTCGTCCTGCCTGACGATGGCTTCCCGACGCAATGCGAACAAGCTACTCGAATGTGCATCATCTGGGCAACGGGATTTACACGACAGTATCCATTCTTGAGTGAATCTCTTCATGAGAGGCTGTGGGATGCTGAACGGTTCATTTTGGAAAACCACGGTGGCATTACCACACATCCCGGACTGTATGTCTTGGGATACCGTTGGCTTCGAAGGAAGCATTCCAACTTTGTCGACGGGGTGGGAGACGATGCCAGGGAGCTGGCACAACATATTGCTGCATCTGGAATTAGCTAGACAATGATTCGATTCATCTAGTGCGATTGCCTTGTTCACAGTTGGGGGGGGGGGGCGCTGCTTGTGAACAAAGACACAGCGAGAGGCGAAGATGGAATCTCGCACGACACGGTCAACCGGCCAAGGCAGCCATTGTGGCGTGCCCAAAGAACGATCCGTCCTCCTTCAAGGAGGTGCCTGTACCAATTCAATGGGGAGCCTACCCCTTGGAGAGAGAACCAGTTTTGAACTGTGGAGCCATTGAGGCGTGCTGTGTTGATGTTGCAGGATCTTGACTGCTATCTGTGCGGTGCGCACATGCTGTACTTCTGACGACACTGTAACAGGTGTAGCATGTAATATTATGCAAAGATGTTATAGTAGTTATTTAATTGGTACAGCCCGGGACCTTGGTATTTCTTCAGTGCATTTCTTCCTTCCGCACCGTTACAACACACAAATACATATCACACCCAGTCTATCACATCTGCAGCGAAAGGTCTAATATCTATGCTTCACACACGAGGTAGGTAGCAACAACCAAACCAGCAGATTGAGTTCTGATACGCAGGGGGGGCGAGGGTTCTTTTTTTGCTTGCTTGCCTCAACTTATTCACCACACAGCTGCAACAGTGAATACACTTCCGGGTACTCCTTGCCGATATCCGAGATTGGCGCATTCCCGGGCCGAATGGTCATGACCTGGTATCCAATACCAGCTTCTTTGGCTGCCACCAACTCGGCTTCGGAATCACTGCAAAAGACAACATGCCAAGGTGAGACTCCCAGCGCCTCGGCAATTTTCTTGTACGAGCCCGCCATTTTTTTGTTGCCTGCGGTTGGGATATCAAAATGAGCCTCCACATAGTCACACAGATTGCCGGCTACGGAATGCCCCAACAGCAGTTTTTGCGCTTGCACCGAACCGGAGGAAAATATGCAGACACGACAGCCTTTGGTCTTCATCCATTGTAGCATAGGCCACACATCCGAGTAGACATGTCCGTGTAAAGTTCCCCGTTCGTATCCGACCTTCCACATTTTTCCCTGCAGGGTTTTGAGGCCTGGTACTTTGATATCTTGTTCCATTAATTTCCGCACCATCCATTTAACATCGTTTTTGCTTTCCTCCGGGATGGGTTGTCCGACCAAAGTCAGATCCGCCGTCAACGCCACCACAGTTTCCTGATACTCTTGCTTGTTGGGTTGTAGAGTAGAGTCGACAAAGTCATCCAGGTGATCCAATACATACGGGAACAATTGATCTTTGACAAACGAAATGGAAGTGGTGCATCCTTCCACATCGAGTAGCAGGACTTTGGCATCTCGCGGTAGAATGGGTACGGCATTGGATAGCAAATCATCCCGGTTGTTGGCTTGCCCAATGCCATTGAATCCTTCGGCCGCCGAACTGGGCTTTGCTTTCTTGCGACGAGGTATTGTCACTGGAGTTTTCATGAACGTTTCACTCACATTGTCGACGCGATATGTTCCACTCTTGGGAGGAAGCCCAGGATCCATGTGCAACAATGTTTTCATTTGAACCGCCGATTGGAATAGATAATCAAAGGATTCGCACTGTGTCTTGGCGGATTCCCATGAATCGCCCCAGACATAGACTCCTAATGAAGGAGTGTAGTGGGGTTTATCGGATGATGAGATAATGCACACAACACAGCAGCAAGATGAGCAAGAAACAACAACCAATGATGAACTCACCATGTCGCCGGACCAGCACAGCATTGCATTTTGGGTATTTTTGAATGACAGCTTCTAGCTGATCTGCGAGCAGATCTTCCGAAGGACGATTGTCAATAATGGGTATTTCGAGCTGATCATCGTATGCGTGACTTCCCACCCCCTTGAGCATTTCCAAATGGGTGATATTGAGCGTATTGGCAGTTTCGGTAGGATCCAGGAGTGTCGCCATTTGCGCATTCATACTGTGCGTGTGAATGACACATTTGGTGTTTGGTCTATTCCTGTAGACGACATACCACAGAGGCGTACAGGCACTCTGTCTGAGATTGGGAGTTTTGGGTTCGACGACCACATTTCGATCCATATCCAATTCAAAAACGTCGTCGCCCACCATGTCTTCTTTCTGAATTCCACTGGGCGCCACAAAGACTCGCCAAGGTCGATTCTCACTGGGACCACCCACACGGATCGAACAGCCTCCTCCCGTGCCAGTGGCCCACCCCTGTTGGTAAAACGTCTCGCAGAGTTGCGCAATCAACGACCGCACCGTTCGTGCTTCTTCGTCGCGACATTCCGTCAAGGCGTCGCCCGATTGAGACGAGAATGTCACTGCCGAGTGCTCGTTGGCGCCTCCTCCCAATCTCGTCCAACCATCATTCACATGGATCCAACGACGTTCTCGAGAATACAGCTGAATACGGCCGTCACGCGTTACGGGAAACATTTGCGGATTCATTTCTCCGTTGCTCCAACCGTAGCCGGGCTTGTCTTTGCTAGCATCAGTCATTGTCGTGTCCTTGTTGGAAGTGCCGTTCATGCTCTTTCTTGACTTGACTAATTGATTAACAAATGAATGCTTCTTTCAGCAACAATGATGATACCGGTAGGATAGGATGGGATCTCTTCCAATGATTAATTAAAACAAGAGGTCTGCTTCTTCGAACTTGGATAGTGCACTTCTTCAAGGGGTTGGCAGCCTCTATTGATGATTGGCTTTGGCAGCCGTCCATGGCTTCCTCGGAAGGATCTGGGATCTTTGGACGCCGGCCTGGCTTTTCAATTATCCGTTGGATCACGTTCGTGAACAATGTTAATTCTAACGCTAAAAAACCACTTCATCGCGTCAAGTTAGCAGAGCGGTTAGACAGTCAAGCCTGTCAAAGGAAATGATCAAGGTGCCTCTTCGCAGAATACACGTAGTCTACCCACCCCACCCTGGCTGCTCGGTTTAGTTTTTCGGTTCCAACAACTCTGGGATGGCGCACTACCAGTTACCCAACTCTAGCACTTTAGAAGGTGAAGACACGGCACATTGAGGCAATGAGGTGGACCGGCAAGAAAGTCGTACCTAGATATTCCTTGTGAAGCAAGCCAACTGCTCATGCCATCTGCCTACAGTGCGGAGTGGACGGCTGCGTGTCCCTCTCTATGGGTCTGCTTCACAGCCTGCAGCGCTGTCGAGGCACCTTTTCCATGGCTGTCGTGAAAGTCCAGCCACCAAGCAGCCAGCCAAACCAGGAGGAGGAAGGATGGCATGAAAGTGCTGTGGCAACCAGCTAAGGCAACGTGACCGTCAAAGGGCTGGTCTAACGATAGGCCTGGGCTTTAGAAGAGCAGTTGAAGCGAGGTCCATTTCAAGGAATGGCTGCAGAAGGAGGCAGCCACTCGCATGCATGAGCTCAGCCCAACAAGGCTTGTCAAGCAAGTTGGGCCTAAAACAACTTTTTACAACTAGAACTCCTCCTTGTATCGGTTCTTGCTGCTCTAGTAGTAGTAGCCGGCCTACCAGCATATGACCTCTCTATTCCACACTGACGGGGAAGGAGCTGACCTTCGCAACAGCTGCTGCAGTTTTTTAAAGCCTGCTTAGTAAACAGTAGCACGAAAAGTTTCATGAAGAGCTTGTTCTTGCCAAATAATACATGATGGGCATCGCCAGCAGTCGGTGAAGCAGTTTTAGGCAGGTGGATTGTCCACTCCTTGCTTGCAAGTGCTAGTAGAGTGCTAGCTCTAGTACTGTACAGCTACACAGCTACATCTAACTTCAGCCTCCGAGCGACTGGCCTATGGCTGATACTATTAGCTACATGTACCTTCTTGACCTTACTTTGGCCTGCCAGCCAGTACTAGTCTATTCTCCTGGAAGATACAATGTCATTCACAATCAATCTTGCAAGAAGGCTCATCATAGCCGCAAAGTCTTGGGCCTGGCCTGAGGAACTCCTGAGTCCTGGGCATCATTTATTTCGCGAGGGTTGCTTTGTTGCCTGTGTCTATGCTTTCCAATTTCTACGGCGCTACTAGTAGTACGGTTGTGCCGAGCTCCTCTCACCTCTCACCCCCAACCGTACCGGTACGACTGTACCCGTACCGGTACCACGCTCCAGGCTCAACCATCAACCATCAAAGAACACAACTGCCCTCCTTATTGATTTTGGCGGAAGATAGTGGTCAACCTTAAAAACCATGAAAGGGACTCTTTGTGAGCTGATTTCCGAGTCGAGGGCCTTCCATTGCCATCCCCGAAAGGAAGATGATTTATTGTTGAAGTGCGAAGGAGAACAATCTTGTTCTTATGGCACCTGACCTTTATTTAAATCTCAGATGATAGGTGATGATGAATGGTTTTGGTGTTTTGGTGATCTTGCATTTAAGAGACAGTTTCCCCATTCTCTGACATTCTGTTCATAAAAGAAATATAAAACATAACAAACGATTTAAGCTACAATCAAGTATGACTGGTCTTTAAGCAGCCGCTGCAGTCATTCACACTTGAATGACCGAGGCTGTTCGTAGTTCAATAGAGCCAATTAACCCTCAGGCTGTTTTGATTTGAAACAGGGTTCTTCAATGTCTGAATTGGCAACTACGCCTCCATCGCCTCACATTTTGGACGTTGTTTTGTGGGAGGTGGATTCGATCTTCCTCTCGGGTTGTGGGAGTTTCCATTCGTACCTCCCCTGCGTAGCTTTGGTAGCGTTGCATGTTGCATGGAAACTGAAATCTTTGTGGTTTGATGGCTTGACCTCCCTCCTCTTTTCTCACAATTCCAATTCAAGCCATTTGATCAGCGTACCAAAAAGAAACACTCTATTCTTTCTTCAGCACCCAAACTTTCTCACTATCCCATCATGGCCCGCTTCTCCTTCTCCAAGATGATGGCTGACCCTGCCTCCGTTGACCTCAAGGATTCCAGTGATTCCGATTGCTTTTCTTTTGTTAACGATGACAGCAATGAGATGAGACCATCCACTCCCACCAGCACCAGACGCCAGAAGAGAGTATCCCGTGCGTTCAAGACATCGACACCTTCCCCCACCTCTCGTCGTGCCAGCAGCATCGAAACCTTGGATGATCTGGAGGAGTTTGCCAAGGTTTTGAAGAAGGCCGACCCTGATGTCATCGGACGAGCCATCTTGAAAGAAACCAAGAAGAGCAAGGCAGTACGAGCATCCACCACGCTCAAGAGGACTGTGACAGGATAAGAAGGCAGCAATCAAGCAGTGCTCCCATAAAATTTTGTGCTTTTAAATTTTCCGCCATGCATGACAGCGCAACATATGCAACAAACACTTTTCGCCTTGCCTTCACATACATGATTTGTACATTATTAAAATATTATAAAAGAATTATACTACAGAATCGATCTTTCAACCTGTGTGCGTGAGAAACTATCAATACTTTCCCTTGGCAATGGGAATCTGGATCAGCTTCATGAAGAGGTTGCGCCATCCGTCAAGATGGCTGCACAAAACGTTGTGATGAACCTGGAGTAGCTGGCCAGCTTTGCATTGATGCATCTTCGGATCTGAATATACGTTTACACGTACCCAGAATCAAAATGGCCGTCTCGGAGCTGTGGGGCATATGTGGTGTTGCCTTTAGAGGGCCCTTGAGGGGGCGTTCCCTGCTGATTGGTTTCAGGAGTGGGGACGGGAGTTGGTCTACCAGCAGTTAGTCCTGGAGCAGGTCGTCGTGATAGCTCATGTTGGTGTGGAGTGGTGCCCGGAGTAGGTTCAGGGAGTGAAGCCTGCTCCTTGTGTGGGCCTGATGTTGATCTGGGAGTGGGGCCTGGAGTAGATCAAGGGAGTGGGGCCTGGAATAGGTCCAGGGTTGGGGCCTGGAATAGGTCCAGGGTTGGGGCTTGCTTGTGTGCCTACTGTCGTGCCTGGAGTTGAAGCTGGTGCTGGGTCTGGAGTGAGTACCAGTACTAGTAGAGTCGAGTCTAGCTAGTTGTTTGGTGCGGAATTGGCGTCAAGGAGTGAGTGGGGCATGTATAGTATGGACCTGCCAGCAGTATTCTGGTGTTACTAGTGGTCTGGCAATGGGGCCTGAAGTGGAGGAATGTTCTTTCATTGTGAATACGATACGGAGGTTGATGTTGCTGCTTGAAGTTACTGTTGAGTGCCCAACCAGGTTACTTGCTACAGCTGTACCGGTGCGGTCGGAACTGTGCAGCACGGCCAGTGGAGACTCTTTTAGGATTGGCTCCGCCAAGCCGTTGCCATACTGGCGATACACGGTTTCTCATGTTGCTTTTTGGAGCTCGTAGTGTGGTGGGACTGGTGTTGGTCTGGAAATGGGGCCTGGAGTGGTGTTTCCATGTATATGGCCCTGACTGGGATGGATCAAGGAGTTGGAGTTTGCATTGCTCCTAGTAGCCAGCAGTATTATGGTGCACGGCTGTAGTCTCGAAATGGGGCCTGGAGTGGTGTTTCCAGGTGTTGGATGCATTTGAGGACTGTTCTTCCGTTGCGAGTACCGTACGATGTGTGAAGGTTGACAATGCCGCTTCAAGCTACTGCAGAGTGCCCAACCAGGTTACTTGCAAGGTAGGAACACAATGACATGGTAGAATGGAAAAAGACAAAACTACCAGTAGCTAGCTAATTGGAGCCTATTACTACTCTTTGTATAATAATAAGAATAAACTACCACCCATCGGAATCGTACTCGATCCCTTGATCAAAACTGTCGAAGTGTTGCAACTTACAGCACTGTTGTTGCTGTTGCCGTTGCTCTTCTACCTGCAGTGCTGCCCGTGCAAACAATCCCGGATTCAGTGCGACAAAGTGATGTATAGCACGTAGATGCGTGGCATTTTGATAGAGGGCTCGAAACCACAATTCCTCACTATCACTACTACCATTCGAGCATTGTCGCAATCCTTGAAAGAGTTCTCGTCGCCCCCAATGATTGAGTTGTAAATAAAAGGCAATTTGGGCTTGCAAATGATAATCGGCGACTTCGAGTCGTACAAATTCGAGGGCCGTGTTGGTGGCCATCATGTCGCACAAGGCCGTTTTGGATTTGGTCGACAATTGGGAAGCCGCCGCTCCCGACAAATGAAAGTGTTGGAGACTTGTACTGGTTTGTGCCAAGGCGTGTGCCAAGATTACAGGCGCATCCGGGTCGTCGAGGGCATCGATGCGGAGTGATAATTGCGTGAGATTGGCGTGCAACAAGACAGTGGCAAGTGCCGTGGCGGATGTTCGTCCCAAATCACACGACAAGATGAGTTTTTGCAGCCGATTTGGAGACGGAGATTGGAAAGACTGACACAAGAGTGCAACATCTTCTTGTGGAAACCAAATATTGCGCAGTCTCAGACTCGATAATTGTGGCATTTGACCCATTCGTTCCAGTGTCGATGGAGGCAAGCGGTTTCGTCCTCTTCTGGCAAGTTGATGGGCATTCTGCTGATTGGTGGATTTGTTCTTGGGCAAGACACATTCGACATGTCGTAAGGAAGGAATATAGGATATTGCTTCCAAGAAGGAACTGGTTTGATGATGATTGTTGTTGCTGTTGTTACTGTTGTGTTCTTCCGCTTGCCAGTCGCAACATTCGATACAAACATCCGTGAGTGACGTGTTTTGCCGCAGCGCTTGCTCGAAAGCTTGGAATTCCACCTGTTGACGTTGGTACCGTAGTTTACAATACCGAAGTCCCAATGCGGTTAACACCGGCGCCTCTTGTAGCAGCAACGTCAAGCAGTCCAGTGGAACTTCGGTACAATGAAACGCCAAACTCTCCAACTGGGGGACAGTTGTCATGGCGGCCAGCAGTCGCTTCATCGGACAATTGCCATGGAAGACTTTAAAGTTGCGAAAGTAGACATGACAAAGATGCTGTGCACCAGCAAGGGCTTCGATCAGCGCCTCCAGTTCGCCTTCATCACTGGTAGTATCCGACGACAGGTACAAATGCTGCAGTGCGGGATCGTTCTTTTCCAGCCGACGGGTGGGAGAATCATCGGCAAGAGTCAATGCCATTCTTAAATTGTTTGTGTTGAGAAAGTTGGCTGTTTGGTTCAAGCAGGGTATATTCTCATTCTATGAGCACAGCTTTCTCGTTGCGTTCTATCTGCTGCCACCGGAACAAACAAGATGAGGAAGCTTGCTTGGAAGCAAAAGGCAAAGCGAACCAGAGTGACGAGCAGCTCAAAACTTTGTAGTTGCTACCTGGTAGAGCTAGAGAACTGGTGGTAGCTGTCCAAGCTTCTACTGCTTGTACGGCACGGTACCGGTACCTACGACGATCAGTTCGCGAAAAAGTTCATTGTGTCAAAAGAAAAAACGGATCAGAAGCAAGATTTTGCTAGTTCAACCACGTGGGCAGGCCAGTCACTTGACAACGTTGACATCACAAAGAACAGCGTCATGGCTGAGCCAATGATGAGGCGGAAGAATTCTACCGGTACGGAAGATAATAGCGCTGTACCGTACCATGCTCCACGACACTGGACAACCTGTGGCCGAGCAGCCAATTCCCGAGAGCATGGTGGCTCTGCAGTTTGCAAATCATGCCACAAGAATGTGCTGCCACTCAAAATTTCGCAAGCATCCATGCATCTTCTGGTCCACACACCACACCACACCACAAAGCTGGCTAGCTAGCATACCGGTAGCACATCCACTTGTCACACAAACAAAATTAAGAACACTTTCAGGTGTCACGATTGTGATGGAGCTACTGGTCAAGCTAGACTAGTTCAGTGGTTGTCACTTGAAGTCTCCAGCAACAATCAACAAGATCGATTGTCTTCGAGTGAAACTCACTTGACGTTTGAAGCTGGGATACGACTTGCTTTGAAAGTACTGTGGCATAACTTCAGTCTTGAAGGTGTCGACCTTATGAATCCGAAAAGCTCTGCCGTCGTCCATGAAAGATGCGATAGATATCAGAACGTCCATGCTTCTCCAGGTCAGTCCTCAGCATCCTGCGCAGCGTCTGAACAAGCAAATGCACAATCTCTGCCACGAGGACAACGTTTCTGCGTTGGTGCTTCCTCTTCATCGCTTACGCTTTGGTCAGAAGAGCAGGCTTTTTCCTCGACTCCTCCTTGCAAGCTGGGTGGAAGTCAATGCCACGGGTGCAAAGGGTGATGCACCCGCGAGTTGTTATTGGAGACGGTGGCGGCTTGATTCGCGGTTGCTTAGGTCTCGAGTGGCCAATTCAATGGGACCAGCGGCAGGCGGCTGCTGACTTGGCTGTGCCGTTCCCTCTTGCTGTTTGGTCAATCCCAAAGCAGCCGCCGTTGGCTGATGCATCGTTGCTCCATTCTGTGATTGCCCTTAAGGTTGCTGTTACTGTTGCTGGAGCTACCTTCGACGAGATCCCGAAGTCTCTCCAGCTCGAGCTGTTGGCGTAGAATGATGCCGAGCATTTGGCCAATCATTCCATCCATATTCTTGTTGCGGGCTTCCTGCTGCTGTTGCCGAAACTGAAGCCATTGCTTGCGAATCCATCGGAGTGGGTGATGCCAAAGCAGGTGAATCCACGTGATGATCTCTCGACATGGCGGTTGCAGAAGCTATGATTTGGTCTACTGCAGCTTGGGCCATGTTTGGTGTGCCCATGGATGTTCCCTGAAATTTAAATAGGAAAGCGGCAGCAGCAGCAGCTTGCTTGTCCTGTGACTGTTGAGGCATTAGGAGCTGGCTGGCCTCCTTGCTGTTGCTGTTGAAGCCGTTGGATGGCGTGGGCTAGCAATGGATTTGAACCAGGGTTATTGATCAAGCTGACGAGATCTCCCGAGATGCCGATGGTTCCCCCGCTCGAGCTCGTGTCATTAGCGTCAGTAGCCGTTCCATGTAAGGCAGTGGCAACCGCGGCAGCTGGTGACGGCCCCGCAATTGTCGCCATGTTGAGATCTTGCTGTCGTTGCTGTTCCACCTCTCTGGGAAGGGGTTGGCGAGTCCGGATTGTTGCTGGATTGGTTACTTGCTAGCTAGACTGGGCAGGTATCCCGTGCCTAGCTAGAGGCAAGTTTTAGCTGCCACTCTGTTAAATTACTTCAGGTCTACGAGTAATGTAATGCAGTTGTGATGGCTTAACTATTGCTTTTGCGGTGCTTGCTCGCTGGCTGGAGGATGGTACCGTACCTGGTACCGGTATTGGTACCGCTTTGGTCAAACGCACAATGTCCCAGAATCCAACCAATCGAATCTTTCGCAACGCATCGCACTCGTCATTTTTCTGGAGGTGACAACAGTTAGTTGACAACAAGTAAGTGTACTGTGGCCTATCCTGTCTCGACTGAGACTCTGGCTAGAAGAGTCCTCAGTCATATTGCAGTTGAACAGATTAATCATAATGACAAAGTATAAAGTATAGAGTCACATACTTCCATCAACGACCATGAAGGAGGAAGAAGAGACTTTACCCCCGTCCAGAAACGGCGAGAACATGGAACCAGAGGGTCATCATCATCATGACAACGGCAACAACGCCAATAATGATCACCGCCGCTCCACTAATCACAACCCTCGCGAGTTTCATACGGCGGAATCGCTCATGGAGTATCTTCAAGAAGAACGAGGGGAATCTGGCAAAGCCCCCGATTCCTTCAAAGATTATCTACAAGCTCAGAGACAGTTACGATCCCAACGGCAACATCATCGGCGGGAGTCGTTGGGGCGCGTAGTGTCACAATTATTGCATCATCATCATCATCATCATGAAGCCATTCCAGAAGAGGAAGATCCGCCGTGTAGCAAGCATCGACAAGCCGCTTTGAATGCCATGAGCGTGCTGGGGCGACGACAACCCAGTGTCCGACAAACGGACGAATGGCAAGCTTTTGTCGAGAGTCAAGCCTTTCAAGAAAAAGCCGACAACAACAATGATGATGGAAACAACCAAAAGGAAGGAGGAGACGCCGAAAATGAAGAAGACAATCATCATAACGATCATAATGGTGGTTCACTCACGGTTCCTTGGTATTGTCGGCCGGTCCAACGACAACGATGGGGAGATGATGTGGTTCTGCCACATATCAATTGGGGAGACTTATTCTTTGATTTATTCTACGTCGCCGCGGCATACAACTTGGGGGCCATGCTCATTAGTGCCATGGGAAACTCGTACGAATGGCCGCGAGGAGTCATTTACTTTATTGGCATTTTTGGACCCCTCTACAATATATGGGAAAACGACGTCATTTACTCCTCCCGGTACACACTGGTCGATTATTCGCATCGGATCATTGCCGTCATTCGATTCCTCTGTGTCGGAGTGGCCGTCCTATCCATCAAGACGGTGCAATTTCTTGCGGACAAACACAGTTTGGAGACATTTACATTGGTCGTTGCACTCTTGTGTGAATCCCTCCTCCAGTTGGGGCTCAATCTAGAACTCTATTGGTATGGCGAAGGAGATCGAATGGCCATCCAAAATCACACCCGTCGAAAGCTCCTGTGTCAGTTTCTGCCGGCGAGTTTGACCTACTTGGTGGCGTCCATTATTGCGGGGCATTCCTTTTTTCAAGAAGAGGATGCCTACAACAACAAAAAGGAAGATTATGGATCTTACGAAAGCGGCAAAGACGGATATGGCGACAAGGAGGAGTACGGCTATTCTGATTCTTCAAACTACAATGCCACTGCTGCTTACTACACAAACGACACGACGACACTCAACAATGACACTGATTCTTATTACCACCTCGACGATGGGCACTTTCGAGTTTTGGCTGCGGCGGCTTCTTCGTCGGGTTGTCCCTATCCCAATGACGGACATAGAGTCTTGGCGGGTGGCGGCTATGATGACAATGACTGCGACAGCAGCAAGGGTCTCGAGTGGTCCATTGCCGATGTGCCCTTGATACTTTGCCTGGGGATCTATGTGATCAACATACTCTACACTCTGTATCGCAAGTACAATACGGGGGGAGAAGGGCAGGACATTCGACAACACTTTGTGCCAAACAACGTCGACTACCTAATCCACAGATACGGAGAGTGGACGATGCTTATGGTGGGAGAAAGCATCCTGTCGTTGTTGATTGTGGAGACGATTGAATCGTCGGAATACTATGCCATTGCGGCCATGGGATGCTTGACCGTTATCGTCATTCAGCTCTTGAAATTCGAATCGGAGCCAAGTCATGCCGAGGGTCATGCCTTGTGGCGAAGCATGTTTGCGGCCCAGCTATTCAGCATTTTGATTCAAATCTTGTCCATTGGCCTGATATCCTTTGGAGTGTCGTACAAGATCATGTTGACCAATGTGCTACAGGAAGAACTAGAAAAAGAAGAAGAAGATGGGCATCGAAGGCTGGTAGCCGAACTGGCAAAGTATGTTTTGGAAGAATTCGGAGGACATCGAAGGTTGGCAGCCGTGCCCAAGATTGCGGATCAAGCGTTGGCATCCTTGTTTTGTGGGTCGCTTACGGTTGTCCTCTTGAGTCTGGAAATGATGCTGGGGACACACAAAGGAGTGACAAAAAGCTATCAACTGTTGTTCCACGAAATCGAGTCCTTCCATGTATATTCATTGAACTGGCCATTGATGTTCATCTCTGTGTTCAAGATTACTGTGATTGTATTCACAGCAACCCTGAGTCAGTGGCGGACCGAACCAGGTGCGGTAGCGATCTTTGGATTCTTCATCGTGACTGCCATGGCCATTACCAGAATCGTAGGTTGGGGATTTGTTCATCATGAGCAGCACATCAAGGATACGGTTAACTTGATGACAAGTCGAGCAACTGGCTTGAGTCGCGACTTGATGTACCAAGCAACTGATGCTGGAAGAGATATATTGTCGACGCTGGCTTTGCAGTCGACTCTGGCTTTGCAGGCTACAGGAGGAGCATTCATGACAGAACAGGCAGGTTCGGCGTCGCAAGAAGAGGAGCTTGCAATAGACAAAGCTCTCGACACGTCTTTTGACGCGGTGGTTGTCACCGACCGTGCTGGGACCATTAGGCATGTGAACTGCCTTGTCTTGAGCGAGTTCGGATACGCTTCAGAACATGAGCTAGTTGGAAACAACGTTTCGATCCTTGTTGGAGGTGGCGAAGCAGAACACCATCATCTCTACATGGAACGATTCAACAAAAATGAACAGCGGTCGACAACAATAGGCAAACAAAGAAAATTGCACGCACGCCGAAAGAATGGCGAGGAGTTCGATTGTGTCATTGGGATCAAGGAGATTCCAAACACGGGGCTCTTGGTAGGATACATTCGAAGCTTGTCACTGCTTGATGTGACAGCGAAAGAGTCCCCCGCAAATCATGTGGAACATGTGGATGACAAAAGCTTCGACTCTATCATAGTTATTGATCCGAGGGGAACGATCCTCAACGTGAATCTGACAGCTTTGGGAGAGTTTGGCTACCAATCAAAAGAGGAATTGGTTGGCAAAAACATCTCCCTTCTTGTGGGAGGAGGACAAGCTGACAATCATGATGCATACCTTTCGAAGTTTGATATGGACGATAGGGACAATGCAACCATTGGCGGCAACAGGCGTGTCGTGCATGCCAAGAGGAAGGATGAAACTGAGTTTCCTTGTGTGATTGGTATTCGTCGAGCCCCTGACAGTGACAATCTCATCGGGTATATTCGCAATATGACTGGCATTGCGCCCGAAGAAGAGGATCTCAAAGAAAAGACAAAATACCTTGTTGACGATACTTCTTTTGATGCCATTGCAATAGTCGATTCAGAAGGAAAGATATTGCAAGTCAATGCCACGGCGGTTGAAGAATTCGGATACTTGGCCAAGGCAGAACTAGTTGGCAATAACATTAGTATCCTCGTTGGAGGAGGTCACGGAAAGCATCACAACAGATACATGAAGAGATTCCAGCAAAAGGGGAACGAAGATTCTGCCATTGGCAAGCGACGCCTGTTGAAAGCTCGACGGAAGGATGGGACAGAGTTCTCCTGTGTGATCGGCCTACGGAAAATTCCCGATACCGATTGGCTGATTGGCTACATCAGGTCAACAGAAGGTCTCACAAAGAAGCAGCGTGAAGCCGAATATGACAGCATTTCACAGTTCAGTACAGCTCGTTCAGGGGCAGCAGGAAGTCTCGACGGGAGGAGCCGTCAAACCATTTCTACCGGCGGGGCGAACAATTTGGATATCATGGATGAGTCCTTTGATGCCATTATCGTTGCTTCCTTCAATGGTGTAATCAAGAAGGTCAACCAAACGGTGCTGGACACGTTTCGCTATCCGAGCAAGGACGAGTTGGTAGGACAAAACATAAAGATTCTGGTCGGAGGCGGGGAAGCAGACATGCATGATGGATATCTCGAACGGTTTCAAGCAGAGGGCAAATCTGCTTCTCAGATAGGGAAACAGCGAGTCCTCTACTCGCGACGCAAAGATGGATCTGAATTTCCTTGCCTGATTGGAATCAAAACGACCCCAAGGAATGATGGATTGATTGCATGGATCCGTGATATGACTGATATTGCACAGCAAAGATCTTCGATCCAAATCACCAACATGAAGATGCTTGATCCTGTTGAACGTTTGGTTGACGACAATTCCTTCGATGCGATCATTGTGACCACGGAGAAAGGTGTTATTCGGAACGTCAATGAAACAACTGTGCGCGAGTTTCGTTACGATTCCAAGGAAGAGCTGGTGGGGCACAACGTTTCCGATTTGGTGGGGGGCAGAGTCAGCGCCAAACTGCACGATAGATTCATGGAACGCTTTCAAAAGACAGGAAAGTCATCGACGACGATTGGGAAGCAGCGCATTCTCATGTCCAAGCGCAAAGACGGCAGCGAGTTCAGATGCATCATCGGGATCAACAAGATTCCCGACACAGATAACCTCTTGATTGGTTACATACGCAATCTGGAGATGACACACGAACCAGACTCGATCAATATGTCAGACCTGGACACTGCGACGGCTTCAGTGGCCGGTAAGTCAAGGGACTCCCGCGAAAGTTCCTTGGGGGATCCGTAGGGTCTGGTTGGGTGCATGAGAGAAGAACCTGTGGCGCTACAGTAGTGCTACGGTAGTGCTAGTAGTGTATAGTTTAGCTAGTGCTTATTGCTAATGTGCGGTGTGCAGGGGTAATGGTTTGTGCTTTCTCCCTTTCGCTAGAGTCTGTGCCTTCACAAACCGAACTCGGCGAAGAAATCTGGGCTTTGTTGTCCCTTCGCGGTGGCCTTTGGGAATGACGACTCCTGAAATGACACCCAGGCATCCATGAGCTTGTCCATCTTGTCTTGGTAGATGTTCAAGTTATCCCTGTCAAAAACCAAAGAAGCAAAAATGAAACAAATACAAACGTGTATGGTGTCAGTAATTTTTGCTCATCCCAAACAAGCAACAGCTGGTGGCCTGGCCGAAGAACTTACAAATTCATTGTATACTGCGTAGTCTTCAACATCATTGAAAGCCGTTTGCAAATCGTACTGTTCCATCAATCCTCACATCGGGTTGTTCTTGAACTCCATAATCCAGTTCGCACCATCTTCCATTGATTCCCCTTTACCCCAAAAGTCGTGCTCTTTACCCGTCCTCCCACACGATCTGTGCATTCCAGTATGACTCAATCACTTATGACACATATGATAGGTTAGGATCCTCATTTTGCAAGGTGACGGCCGCAGAAACCGCTGCCATGCCGGCCCGTACGATTACAACATCGGTATAGACGGTATTCAAACAAACCATGTTCTCGTTCCATATGGGCTCTTGTGATTGATCTACAGATGGAGGGATTGTGATGGGTGCATTTGTGACGGGGCTTGGGGTTGTGGGTGGATTGGTGACAGGGGGTTGGGTCACTGGTGGATTTGTGAGAGGGGTCGAGAGAAGAACCTGTGTGCTACGGTAGTGCTACGGTAGTGCTACGGTAGTGCTACGGTAGTGCTACGGTAGTGCTAGTATTGTATAGTTTGGCTAGTGCTTATTGCCAATGCGGGTAATGGTTTGTGCTTTCTCCCTTTGGCTAGCTAGAGTCTGTGCCTTCACAAACCGAACTCGGCGAAGAAATCTGGGCTTTGTTGTCCCTTCGCCGTTGCCTTTGGGAAGGACGACTCCTGAAGTGACACCCAACTGGACCCCCGAGAAGCATTGGGTTCATGGAAGGACAATAGATCCCCCTGAGCGAGGACCAATGCGTCCTTGTCTTGGAATGGTCGTGGTGCCTTCATAAATCCATCAAACGAGACGCCTGCTGAACGTGGATGCGGATGAGAAAAGAAGTCGAATTCTGGCTCCTTTTGATGAAGTCTTGGTGCATACTTCTTTTGTTGATACTTTTCCACTAGAAATTTGCGCCAAGTTGCATCCGATGCATTGGGACTGGGTCGTTCATCCGCAGAGGCAGCACCGTAGATCTGAGCAGCTCGTTTGTTCCCAATGTTTTGCATTTGTGCAATCTCATCAGGCCCCCAGAGATAAGTTCCCGTGCATCCTTTGGGCTTGCTGATGTGGGTGCCTATGGATCTGTGGTGCGATCCACAGGTCAAACACAAGAAGACACCGAGATTGACCGACGCCCAGACAGTTCCTCGTTTCCCGCAATCCGCACAGAATCGATTCTCCGGCAAAAGGCGCAGTCTATCGATTTCAGCTTTGTTTCGAGCCTCACTTCGATCAATCATTGCCTTGTCGAAATCATTTCCGAGTTTGGAACGCCACATCATGGTTTCTTGTTTTGGAGAGTTGCCGCTTGTTGTTCGAGGAGAGTTTCTGGGATTGCTAGATTGCTTTTTGTGAGGTTGGGTTCGTCTCAATGCTTCGAGTCCCACAGAAACAATCCCATCCTTTTCAGAGGAACAGTCTCTCCCTCTTCGCTTTGTTTCGTGGTTTGATGGACAAGTTGGAGCGCCACTTCCCGACTGCTTCGCTGGTGCTTGGGAGTGAGGAGCTGTGTGAGGTGGGGGAGACGAAACACGTCTGACCAGTCCAGCCGTGGTTAATTAGGGATAGTGTGATGTGAAGGTCTCCATGGAGCCGTAAAGGGGTAGAAGGCAGCAATTTGATTGGTCGATGAGTACCGAAGAACAACAATACGTCAGGAAGTAATTTGAATTATTTAACGCACCATTTATAGAGATTACGGAGTTAACGTGCTACCAATTCAAGGATTTTCGTGTTTTCAGAAGAAAGAAGAAGGATTCCGTCGCGATCCATCGACCATGACAGGCTCTGCCGCTCCCACTCGACGGTCATTTCTCGGCCAAAAAGGCAACAGCAGCAGCACCATGGACCACAACAGCAGCAGCAGATGCAGCAGCAACAACAACACAAAATGAAGGGATGGGCTGCCAGAGTCAGAATCGAAATCCACAGCAGAGAGAGCATTCCAACTCGCCCACAACAACAATACAAGATCAAAGAGAGCCAGAGAAGAAGGAGCCCAAACAGCACTGGAAGGAGGGATAGCAGAAGTCTTTGATCCACTCAGACACTGTCCAATCTGTAAGGCCAGACATTTTGGTCTCAGAGTCCCCAAGAGAGCAACACTCTGTCTTCTGTATTAAGAATACAGTGACAAAAGGACAAGGACCTTTGAATGCGCTGACAATGGAGACAATCAAAGAAAGCAGGAGACTCACCAGGCAATTCAGTGCTCCTCGTCCACTCAATGAGAGAGGAAGCTGGAGACATTCCACAAGAGAAAATGGAGAAGCATTCTTTGCCGCTAGAACCAACACAGCCAAAGCCACAGCAGTTCCCAAAAAGAAAAATGTAATGGCCACTCCAGCTGTGTTCTGTGAGAAAGTCACAGCTCTTGTGAGGATGCCACCTTTGGTGGAAAAGCACAAGACCAAAATAGCACCACTGGCAATGATAGCAATGGCAGAAGCAGTGTCAGAATTTACAGGTCAATAAGAACAGGATTATTCCAGCAACACTTTGATGGACTCACCATGACAGTCCCATCCACAAAGGAGCAATTCCAGTCTCCTCACTACCACTCCATTGTTGGGCAGAAACTACTCCTAGTGGACTGGAATCGATGTGGCATCTCTGTACCTTGTCCTGATGGAAGATGCTCTGGCAAACTCAATCAACAACTGAAGAGAAAGGCAAATTTGGTCGAGGAACAAGACTCTGTTTCCAATCTTTGGCATTGCTGGACCTCCATCTTGGTGTATGGTAACACCTATGGTCTGTGACCAATGCAAGAGGAGATTTGATTCCAATCAATCAGAGGTACTGCTGTCAATCCCAGAGCATGTTTCATTGATGTATCCAGTAGAGCCAAAGTATGCCTTTACCAAAACAGACTATCACTTGGAGAGAACAGCAACAGAAGTGTTTGATTCTATAATGGTTACCTATGGCAATGGAGACCTCTGCAGCCGCCTCATCTACAATGCAATCAACAGGGAGTACATTAGAGCCATGATGTCCTACTTCTCATACTGGAAAGGAAGCGACACTGATCATGATCCCTTCCTTCCAAAGGATGGAACTTACATCAGACAATACCCTCCTCTTGGTGAGACCATCCGTGACTTCTTTGACAGGGCTGCTGCATCCAACAGAAATCCATGGAGGATCAGTGACAATGCCAGGCAAACAAGGGAGATCCAAAGTGTCAGCTGCAACAAGGCTATCTTCTGTCAGGACCACACTTTCCAACCAGTCAAGAATTACATGAAGAGAGAGGTTGGAGCAGTGGCTGTTTGGGATGCTGCCACTGAAACTGGAGAGATAGCTTCTGCAGTGCTGGTTCCCACCACCAAGACAATCCACTTCTCCCATGCTGCCATGCAGCTAGCAAGGAGGAGCAACTTCAATCCAGTTGCAATGTATAGTGACACCTGGCCCAACAAGGATGACTACTGGGAGTTACTCTTTCCAGGTATTGAGGGAAGACTTGGCCTGTTTCATTATGAGAAGAGGATCCTGTCAACTTTTGAGGAAGGGCCACATTGATCACTTCCAAGCAATGACAGACCTTTTGGACTGCCTGTATGAGTACTTGCCTGAGGACTATGAGAAGCTTCTCTATGCTCTGAAACATGGTCTACTATCAGCTGATGGCAAACACTATTCCATGGTGGAGATCTCTGACATGCAATCATCCAAGGTCTTCCGTGACCGATACTCCAAGTACCTAAGGAAGAAGATGAGAGAACCTGAAACAATGAGGCAGAGGTTGCAACAGTGGTTCTGCAGGTACAAGGTCACTGCTAGTGAGGGCAGCCAACCTGGCCAGGGAAGACTGGATCCAGTCAAGAACTTTACCTTATTCACTCCAGACACCAAGCCAGCAGTAGACAACTGCATTGACAAAGCCATTCACCTGGCTGACCCACTACCAATTGAGCAAATGTATGATACAATCCAACCTTCTCCCAACTCCAAGCACAATCTTCCAGAATACCTATCAAGGAGAGGAGAGTCAAAGTTAGAGGCTTTCCATGACAAGTTTGCTCACTTTGGCAATGGTGGAATGAGAAGAAGCCTTGCTGATGCTCTCAACCTTGCTGGCACAGCTAGATACAACCTGAAGATTCGCCACAAGAGAGCCTTCCTCTCAAGAAAGATCTCTCTCTT